CAACATGGGTGAGCTCTAAGGGTGCATCAGAAGAATGGGTTGAGACTTGAGTTGCAGCTGGGGTAACCACAACTTGCTCTGGGGCTGAGACAGCGGGAAGAGATGATGTGGAAGTAGGTGTAGGTGATGGAATAACGGCAGGAGCGTTAGAAGGGGTGGGAGCAAGACGCCTCCTCTTGCTGAATGATGGGATCTGATTGTTCTCCATTATAGACCCTAAAAGAGAGATGTCAGAAAGATTGTCAGATGTAAGCAAATCAGTAGCTGAAGGAACATCATTCAGCACGTTTTCTTGCAAGGTATCTAGCCTAGCCCTGCAGACGCTATAAACTAGCTCATCATGGGGAATTTCAAGGCATCTACAAAGAAAAGTGCAAAAGCGGGGAAGACAACTTTCACAGTGGCATTCAGAAGGATGTTTTTTCAGCTTTTTGTAGCCAGAGACAGAACAGGTTCCAAAGGAAGAGGGGATAGGGAAGGAACGGCCGAGCGGAGTTCGCCAATTCCCACCAACCACAATTAAATTCCGCCTCCAACCCTTTTCAAATAAGCTTTTATCAGTGCAGATTGACCGTTTGTCAATAGGAAAGAAATGATAGTACAAGTCGTTTTGTGAAATTTTGTTAATCCGATAGCAGAGGAGAAGGTTAATAATGTCAAGATTGAGACCCCTGTCACGATTCAAGAGCAGGAGGACTGAAATTACCTTAAGAAAGTTTGGGTTAACTTGCAGGGGGCAGAGCCCCAATTTGTTGAAAGCGTAGCAAAAGAATGGGTGTACGGGGAACCTAATAACGTTCAGGTGAACGGCAGAGAACAAAACTTCCCCAGGAAGAAGACCCTCACCGGATCTCTCGTCTAAGTTTTTTGGGTAGACTCTGAGAGAAACGTCGCGAGGGATACAATACTTGGATCGAATGGCGTTCAGGTTAGGGGAAGCCATGAAAAAGGGGAAGAGTTCTAGGTAGTAAAGGCGTCTCTTAAGGAGAGGTTTTTTTTAAAAAAAGAAGAAGAAACTAACCTTGAAAGTTTGTGATGGACTCAGCAACGGCACAGTAGTTAAAAATCGAAAAGGAAGGACTTGCAGGAAGAACTTGCCGGAGAAATTAAAAAGGATCGCCGGAATGTGCAGGAAAGTAACAGGGAGTAGAAGCAAGAGGTAAGAAAGAGGGTGAAGGAGATAAAGATCATAATTTATAAAGAGGAGAAGTAAAAGCGACATGGAACTCCAAAGATCAAGGCAAAAAGTGGCGCTACAGATCTCGAAACCTGGGTTCTTGTACCAGCCGTTCGATTCCTCGAGCTATTGCTCCAAGCCGTCAGACCAAGATCGTGTCCTTTTAATAATCTTACCCTCATTAATGAGGAAAGAGATTATTGGGGGCAGATGAGGATACCAAAACGACCCGGGTTTGGAGTGATCCACATTGCATAGGATGGGTCGGGTGTGGACGAACGGGATGAAGCCAGTTAGCGCCGTATGGGCCCAGGTCCATAAAGCCATTTCAGAAGCCCATGATGAAATGAGAGAAATCGAGTCCAGCCAAAGGAGAACAAGATAAGATCAGCTCAGTGGAGGTTGTAACCGTCTATAAATAGAAGGGATTGGGAGGGAAAAGCAGTTGAAAACATCATTGGGAGTGTAAAGTTTCTCTCTCTACAATTAGGGAAAAATTCTTTGTACTTTCAAAATATATATATATATATATATATAGCACGCTTTTGATAAAGCTTTCATATATCTATATATGTATATATATATAGGAGGCTTTTGAATTTTTTATAATGCTCTTAGATACTTTGCTTGCTTCATGTAACTGATTAATGCTAAGTTGCTAATAGTACTCCATGTCTCCCACTCTCCATATATAGCAGGCTTTTGATAAAGTGATATTTTGCTTGCTTCAAACCAACTGCATAATTCTAACACTCCATCTCTCTCTATATATAGCAGTTTGGAGAGGGAGAGACTCCACATTCCAGCTCTAGTACCCTCCGAATATTGGTGTCAATTGATTAGAGCAAAACACGGTGTGAGAGATCCTCTAAAACGTTCACACGCACATCTTATAAATATATTCCCTATCGTTGCCTTCCAATATTAATGTATTACTCAAACTCTATATTTTCATATGTAAGATACCCATATCCAAAAGATGTTAACGTGAGGGACTTTGTTCATATCATGCTCTCTGAACAAAACTACTTTGTGTGGAGAGAGCTAATGCTTCGTCTTATTGAGAGTCGAGGCTTGGTTGGTTTTATAGATGTTGATGATGTTCTTGTCTTCATCACCCCTAGAAGGCAGGTGAAGGAGCAAGAAATTGCTCTCTCTATTAGAAAAGTAATTTTTTACGCTTCAATCATAAATCCCCTTACATTCTCTCTCTAACTTCAAATTATAGAAATGTCTTTTTGCTCTAGCCATCCCTTGGTTGTTTCAAAACCTAGAGACAATATGGGCTCGACCTCTCCTAAACGGGCTTGATCTCTTCTTGGGCTGATCTCTCCTTCAGAACAGGCCTTGAATATAGTGAGTGGGCTGGGAGATCGCTGGGCCTCCTTCTTAATTGGTGGGCCGGGATGAATTTTGCCCGGTGGGATTTTACGCCACTTCAACACGTGAAAAAAATCTAATAAGACAAGGAAATATATAATTTATTACTGTAAAATTTTAGTAAATTGTTATATTATCAATTAATCTTGTAATATGTTTATCTTAATTAATATATCAATGTAATTATTTTAAAAAATTAATTTTAATTATCGGTGAGAAAATAATTATTTAATTACTTTGTTGAATATTAATTTTAAATTAGGTTTTACTCACGTGCATTTAATTTGAGGCCTTAGGTGAAGAATATAAAAGTAGTCTTTTAATATCTAATATATATATATATATATATAGTCAATCCAATTAATTTTTTTTGTCACATAATTGATCTTAGAGTTATATAATCTATACTTAATGAAAAATGAGGAAAAATATGTCAAAAAAAAAAAAAAAAAAAAAAAACAACGTGAATGTGGACGAGCTATGAGAGAGAAAAAAATAGGTAAGATATAGATAGAAGTTCATTTTTCATTTTGGTTGAATTAAGTAAAATAATTACATATGCATCAATAACTATTATTTAGGTCCAAAATGCCCTCCAAACACTTATTCCAAAATACTAAAAATTATTCCCCTTAAATCAAGTACTTTTTAAAAATAATTTCTTTACTAAAAAATTTAGGAAAACAAACATCTTTCTTTTAACTTTGAACTATATTGCTACAACTTTCATATATTATACACACACAAGAACTTATACAAATAATAAAAAATAAAAAATAAAAAAAGATTTAATATTGTAAAAAATGGGGCAATTAAAGGTTAACCAAGAATTCACTTTCTTCATCATCAATCGAATCACTGTTTGCGACCTAGGATTCTATTTTATCATCCCGTATCGAATAGAACATGCTGAGCCAAATCTTCTTCATATAAAACCTGCTTGATTTAGATTGGGAAAATCATGCGGTTTTATGAAACCATGTGCTATGGCTCGAATTCGTAGTCAATCCTATTTCCGATGCCCGAGAAACCCCATTTTTTACTAAGAATTCCCGTTAGGTCGGATCCTAACGAATATTTTGGTAATTTGTAACCAAAAAGAAAAATATGATTAAACTGAATTGTTAATATTTGTATCATTTAGTGAATCAACCATTTAGTTTTTTCATGATATCCCCCTCCCATACGTGTCTACTGTATGTACGTGTATACATGTGTATATATACACACACAGTAGTGTTCAACTACTCCCTAGTGAGCAGAGAGTAGCATACTCACTTTTAATCCTAATGGTAAGATCTAATCCAACGGACATTCCTAATTGAAGGATTTAATCCGACAAACATTATTTAATTAACTTTCTTTTAATTATTTTAGGAAAGTTACATTTTTTTTTTCTAGAAAAAATTACACTTAAATAAATTTAGGAGCCTTAAATAACAAATGAGTCTATTTTTAAAGTAATTTTTCAATTTGGTCGAGTTAGGTAAATTAATTATATATGCATTAAAAACTATTATTTAGCTTCAAAATACCTCCAAACTCTTATTTTCAAAATTCTAAAATATCCTTCCTAAATCAAATAATTATTTTATTCATGAAAAAAAAAAAAAAGGAAAAAAGAAGAAGAAGATTTTTGGGTTGACTTTCAACTTGGCATTTTTGGATAAGGTGTATATATTATCAAAATAAATAAAATAAAAACAGCAAACACACACACATATATATTATATAAATTTTGTGCAAAAACCTTTACCGGTGTAGGTGGTTCTCAATCTAATTTTTGCCAAGTTAATTTTAGGCATAAATAGCTAACTTATTGCCTTATATAATTATATTACACCCAAATAGTAAGGACAAGACTGGGCTACTCATCACTTAATGTGTCCAATCACAAATGCACAAATAGTTTGTAATTAAAAATTTGGAAAGTGATAAATAAAAAAATCAAAAAAGTGATTAAATTAATTTTTTTTAAAAATTTATTATTCTTATTTATCACTTTCCTAATTTTGTAATTAACAAATATTTGTACATTTGTGATTAGACCACATAACAGTAAGTAAAGATGACTTATTCACTGGTAGGTTGACAAGTCTTATCCTTTTTCTTATTTTCATTTATTTTTTAGATGAACGATGTATGATTTAGAGTCCTTTCAAATCCATCTAAGTAGTGATACTTACACCGATGACTTGTAATGAAGTGCCTATCAAAAACTATGAAGGAGACTCATAAAACTACCACAACACCATCTTTCATCCAAATAACTAAACAATAGTTCAAGTTTTTGACATAATCAAGATTAAACATGAAAATCCAACCATCCGTTACTACACAAAAGTTGGAGGGTTGAATCAATCCAAGCAGGTACCCAAAAGTTGAGCTGAGGACAACACATACATACACGGATAGAAGAAGTAAACCAACTTAATTTATATAACTAAGCAAGCACAAACACACTGACAATATCACCCACACGTCCATCAAGTTGCTTAATCTTGTAAGATGATGAAACACTGCATTCTATAGCATTGCATGCAGGATCAATTTTGAGCAGGAATACCGATACGTAATGGTCAGGCAAGGGCTCAGTGGAAAGGTCCCCCATAGTACCGTCAGACCACGACCGCACTAAGCAAAACTGCAAATTGCCCAGATAGAGAAGATCATCCTGAGTGCTATACTTAGGGCCATGATCATGTTTTAAATACAATGGGATCATTTTCCAAATTTCCAACTGATTCAAGCTGGTGTCCAAACAAGAACCTAACAGGAACCCTACAGAACTATCGACAAAGGAAAACCACTTGGCTACGTCATAAGCAAACACAGAAGGTCCTACTAGGAACAAGAAACTGGCTCAACCGGCCGTAATGACCCTCCAGAACCCCTTAGGGATGTTATAGTAAAAGACGGCACTGCTTAGGTTGGTTGCGATAATAAAACCATCGAAAACAGTTGCATGAGATCGAACATATGAATAATCTTGGAAACACACGTAGGAAGAAGCACTAATATATGTCCAAGCATCATGCTCTGGGTAGAATACCTCTAAATCATCGCCGCCATTATCTCCACTGAGAACAAAAACCCTGTCATCATAGGGCTTCAAAGGCTTGATCGCGATAGGTTGACACTTGTAAGTATGCATAATTTGCTTTTCTAGGAAATCAGAAGTCACAGTATCATACACCCAAACCTCCCTAGTTAGTTTCCTATGTCTTGCTCCAGAACCAAGCATATAAATTCTGGATCCAAAAGAGAAAAAACCCATACCATCCGGGAATTCTTTTCCCAAACAAAGCAGCGGCTCATCCAGATCCAGCATAATGGGTGCGGAATTCGAAATTATTTCCGGACGATAAACTCCTCTCCAACAGGAAGTAGATAGGGATACGTCATCCAAACTAATGCGGTACAAAGCATAATTATAGTCCTTCGAACTAGCATAAAAAACGATGTAAAGACAATTCTTCTCGGTGGACCATCCCAATGTCTTCATTCTTCCTACGGGCTAGGCGTGAGAAAGGAGGAGAAAATCAATTTATCGAGAGAGGGAGTCAAAGTGAGAACATCAGCGCAAAGACAAAATACATATATGTATTTATCGAGAGAGTGAGTCAAAGTGAGAGAACCTTACACGATGGGAATCAGAAAACCTTGTTGAGATGAACTGGAAACCCTCGAGACGGCTGGAGAGAGATGGAGAACGCGGAAACCCTGGAGACAATTTATACCCTCGTTATTATTTTTAGGGATAATTACGTATAAATGGGGTTAGGACTCCGTATTTACTCAGAGGCGGAGTCAAAGTTCCATATTTCCCTAAAATGGATTGCTGACGTGGCACATGGATTATTACTGTTCAAGAAATGTTTTGCCAAAAATGCCCTTATCACTATTTCAGCACATTTACCTTATTACCCCTATTTAATTTAGTCACCCAAATTGTTGCCCTAAAATACACACACAGTCGTGCATCACATATCCATCTCACATCAGCGCCGCCTCTCTCTTAAACCAACGAAGCAAGACCAGGCAACCCATCTCGGCACACACCATCACCGAACATGGAGCCCTAACCCTCCCTCATCTCATTTGTGAAGAGCCCTCAAAAGCCCCCTCTCTTTCTTTCTCCCCCCCTCCTCTGTGTAACAGGATTAAAGCATCCTTGGTTGAGCCCTAACCCTCATTCAAGCCCTCTCTCTTTCCCCCTCTGTAACAACGAAGCACTTCTCCACGTCTAACCGTCATTGGTGCGCCCTCTGTCTCTGCCCCTCTCTATAACCCAGCGAAGCATTTCTCCACTTCTGCCATTCATTTATTGTTGTTCTTGAACTGAAGTAAGTACTCTCTCTCTCTCTCTCTCTCATACACACACACGTTTATTTTTTAGATGATTATGGCCCTGATTTAGTGGTATAATTTTTTTTTTTTTCCAATTGGATGTCTGATTTTCATCTAGGTTATGTTTATATGTATTCTCCTCTTATAATTTCTATTATGCAATCATATATATATATAATTTCTATTCTGCAATCAAGATTGTTGTTGCTCTGTTTGTTGTATATGTTTGAAATGTGCGTAACAAAATGTTGCACAAATTTGGGCTAATTATAAGGGCTCATTTAAAAAATTATAACGTAGTTCCTCCCCTGCACATGAATTATAATTTTTACATCTAACATTTTAAAATCCATTCTAATTACGTCAGTTTTAGCCTGCCTCTTTGTCTACTACCAAAAGGACATGAAAAAACAGTATATAATTGGAGAAGAAGAATTCAATAATCTCAAATTTTCAATCAGTTTTTTAGTCAACTAATATAAATGAACACCAAAATCTATGTCACAGGTATATATTGACGGGTATAACAGACAATACAGTTTAGGTATAACAAGAAAGATGTCTGTAACAAGAAGACATGGAGAAGAAAACAATGAGAGAAAAAACAATGAAGAAGATAACAAGAGGAAAAAAACCTGGTAGATTAATAAATAATCTCCTATTGTGTACAGAATCACAACACTTACTCCAAAAACATATTATATATATATATATATATATATATATATATATATATATAATATTGTGAGTTGAGTTGAGAATTTCACTTAACAGAGCTTTGATGTCAGATAAATAAAGAAAGACAGGTTTCATAAATGAGGAGTGAAGAGGTTAAGGGAACACTGACAATATTTCTTTGTATTTTGCTCTGTTTTGAAAAGGCCACATGAGAGAGCTCTCTCTCTCTCTCTCTCTCTCTCTTTGAGGTGGATCTGTTTTTTTTGGTCCAAAACTCTGGCACTACAATCAAACCAAAGACACCACCTTTATGTGAAGGTGAATACGGATACTACTTCTCTTTGCACGAGGGAAGGAATCAGAATCAAAATCAAAATAAAATTAAAAACAGCTAATGGGTGATATAAAGTTTTCAATTCCTAGCAGATAAGTGCAGTACTACTAAAGTCTCTTTTAAGAGATAACCATTAAAACATGGTAGAGTTTATAGATTTTTGTGGGGATTGCTTTATTAAATCTGCCTATGCTCTTTTAGCTGCATTATATATTTTGATGAATATCAAGATATACAGGGTTTTACCCAACTAATTCTCGTAGCTCTGAAAGAATCATTTGTACTCATGAAAGCGTACTCTCAAAGATATATTTATACTTATGAGGAATCCAATTTTAAATCTGGTGCTTCATGTACTTTTAATATTGTCCCTACATGTAATGTAACTTGAAAAGTGTACATGCAAAGTGAGGTTACAGAACTGCTCTGCATACATAACTGATCAAATTAAGGGTATGAATTATATACAAATTAAATAGAATTAAATATGGTAGTGTGTATATATATATATATATATATATATATATTGAAAATGGAATTTAGTTTAGGTAATTCATCTAATTTAACATACCTGTTAAAGTAGTTGGGACAATCTCATACTCCTGTCCAATCTTCACTTGAGATAATGGTAATGGTTCATCTTCTAAGTAGTCATCGGTGGGTGAATTAAGGTAGTACTCTTGCAGTGGTATGAACTCGAAGTAAGAAAATGTGGGTACAACTACGAAAGTAACATTCTCCGATGGAGAAGGATTCACATTCACCCCAATCCAACTCCCTGTGGATCCATATTTTTTGAAGTATGGTTGCATTGATCTAGTCATTATAGAGTACACATACTTCACATTTGGCCATAGTTTAGGAATTAGACCAAACCAGTCTAGATCCTTCAACTCCTCACAACAATCTTGGATCCTCGAAGCTAAACATGGGTTTGGTGTGACGATGTCCAGGACAGCTTTGCTTATCTTTGGCAAGGTGAATTTTGGAGTAAGAGTGCATTCTTTAATGTCATTGCATATGTCTTTCCATAGCTCGTCGAATGATCGAAATGCCTGGATTGTGCTGTAAGCGAATGTTAACGTTATGAACTCTACTTGATCAGAGAAGAAGAGGCCATGGAGGAGGTAACAGTATGTGGATTGTTTATAGTCACCACTTGAAATGACCTCCTCGGGGCTGCAAGTGAATAACTTAGGTTTTTCCTGTTTGATCTTGAACTCTTCACTTGCAAAATAGTGGGTTGTGGCTGTTCCGGGCCTTCCGGCTATTAAACCTTCCTTCGTTTTTAACTGTTTGCTGCTGTATATGAACTCTAGGATCCTTCCCCCTTCCCTTATTCGGTAAACCCTACGACCATCAACATCCAAGGAAAAGAACTTTAGAACAATTTCGGTAAAAGAAATAAAAATAAAAATAAACTTTACCTACAAGAAATAAGATAAAAACAATTTTAAAAAAGTCTTGACATAAGATATTTTTGATTATTGAGAAGAGCAATGTTATTCAATCTGAAAGTTTAGGTCAACTAAACAATGCAACTAGTAAATGACAAATATATATGATCTTCACGTGAGGTTTCTCTCACTTCTTAATGTTTCTGTAGCTATATAATTACCTACATGTTTTATTCTTCCTTTTATGTATTCCATTGGGTTAAGTGATGCTTTATATATGCTTCGTATAAGTGTGTTTTACCTATCATTAACGTGCTTATTCGGATTAATTCCGAATAATGTGTATTGAATTAATGAATTAGGAATATATGAGTACTTCCAAGTGCCCGTGTAAGCTAGCAGATTTCAGACTGAATATTTTCAACATGTAATGTGTAGAAGTGCAAATTGATAAATTTAAGTTACACTCTTTTGTGATGGATTAACTTAATTGATTTTGAAAACTTTCATAATGGAAGGTAGGTGTCAATATGATAGCAAGACACGTACTCTTAAGTTATTATATTTTATTTTGTGTTGCTAAATGTTTACATGCTTAGGTCTCTAAATTACATTATTTAATTATGATCTTTATTTGTTTTATATTTCATTAGTTTTTTGAACTTTATATATATATATATATTTTACTAATGAGTCGATTTTCGAAGCAGTTGGAGAAATGGATGAGAGACAAATTGTATGCTATTGTCGATTTGACGGAAAAATTGACAAAAATGAGAATGGGTAAATTACATACATCGGTGGTGTCACAGACCCTTTTATGATAACAACAACAACAACATATGAATCATTTCTAAATGAGTTACGAGAACGTTCATCTTCAAACGTGAGTGGTAAAGTCATATATTATACCACCGAATCTAACAAGAATGAACTTTTGAGGATGACGGGAGAATCTGGATTTAGAGTGATGCTTGTAGTGAGTGGTCCCATGGTAGATATATATATGGAAGATGCAACGCCTGTAATTGCATCATGCACAATTCCAACTGATCATAGTGAGAGGTAAGACACATATATGTAAAGTAATACATTGATGTATGCGTTGCATAGGTTATACAATTTTTAATATACTTTTTTGTCCACTTGTAGACAATTTCTTGAAGCCACTAGCTATAATGTATCCCCAATTGGTCTTCCGCGAAGTGTTTCGTCAACGTCTTCATTTCCTCCAAGAAATGAACATCGGGATTCTTTCCAACAAATTGATGACATTCTTTGCGAGGATCAGCTTTTTGACAGCCTAAATGATTTCAAAGATGCACTCGTTTTGTTTGGTCTTCGTAATCATTTTCGGTTCAAGTACTTGGACAATAGTAGAAAATATTATAGAGTTGTGTGTGAGGTTAATAATTGTCCATGGAAATTGTCAGCTGGTTGTGAAGGAAGTGGTGGTATAGTGAGAATCAAGCAATTTAATAATGTTCACACTCACACTGCTCAAGACATTTCAGATTATAAACCCATTTTTTGGTCGAAGGAAATAGGTCGAGCTATTGTGAACAAGGTTAGGGACAATCCTAAATGCACCCCTAAGACTATTTCCAAAGACATAGACGGTGAATTTTCTGCTAAAATGACTTACATGCAATCGTGGAGAGCTAAGGAGTGTGCACGTCATATGATTGAGGAAAATCCTGAGGATAGCTATATTTTAGTCCCGTGGTTGTGTGAACGAATAACAGAATATATTCCAGGGACAATTACATCGTGGGAGTGCACGGATGATAGGAGATTTAAGCGAGTGTTTGTAGCTTATGGGTGCTCCATACAAGGTTTCATCAATTATTGTAGGCCCATGTTAGCAATCGATGCTTGCCACTTAAGTGGCAATTATAAAGGAACAATGCTTGGTGCAACGAGGTTCGATGCGAATGATGGCTTGTGGCCTTTGGCATATGCTGTTGTTTCTTCTAAGAATGATGATGATTGACATTGGTTCTTGAGCAAGGTGAAAGAGATTCTAGACGGTCGCATTGTGACAATCTTAACCGACAGGCATCCGAGCCTAATAAGCTGTATTAGAGATATTTTTGGCTCCCAGTACCACTCATGGTGTCTTCGTCACCTAACGGCAAATTTTTCTACATCCATTCTTGGGAGACAAAGTTTAGGATTGAGGGCTTCGGGTAAAGAGCATGCGAAAAATTTGTAATTTTTTACTTTTTTGTAATTTTTTTTTAATGGAGAATTGTTGCAGATATATTTTTTCCCAAAATTTGTACCAAAGCTGATCTTCTTATTATCCTAAATTGATATATTCAGGGTGAACATATATTCATAGCAAATATGAGTGATTTTGTGCTGTAATGGCTGCCACTTCAGATGATGGCAGCTTGGTGCCTGTTCAGCTTACTATTTATTTCAACCACAATGTACCTCGTGAGTCTCTCTCTTCGTCAATGTCTCTGTCTCTCAAAAATTATATGAACATTCTGTTTACATTATTAATATTGTTTGACAGATGAGGCTGAACGGATACATCAGTACAAAGGGAGAGTGTTCAGTTTAAACAATGAGCCTGGGGTGCACAGAATCTGGCTACCAAATGAGGAATGGCCCGGACTGGCAATGTGTACAGCCTTTGGGGACTATCATATTAAGGATTTTGGACTTATTTCTGTCCCTGAAGTGAGTGAAAGACACATAACCAGCAGACACCAATTTGTTGTGTTGCCAACCGATGGGGTATGTATGGTACTTTTGGTATTTATCACTTGTTCTTTTTTATACAATGACAAAGAAAAACACATGTTTGTTTCTCTATATTAAATGTCGAAAACTTGTAAAACATCAGCTGAACGAATAAGTTTCAAACTCATGAGCATAATTGACATTCATCACTTCAAAATATGTAATATCAGTTATTATTAATCAATTTACAGGCTTTTTTTGGCCCAAATTGATTGAATTTTTAAATTGCTATGGATTTTCGAAGTTGATGTGAACATGCTGTCAAAACTGTTTTCTGAGCAGAAGTTTTCCTATCTTTTCTTTCAAACCTGATTTAATCGATAAGAAAATTTATTGATTTAAATTCATAGCAGAAAAATATAGTGTTTAAGCTTCCAATCGACTTTGGTTTCATGCAAATTGTTTGAGAAATTTTAATTTTTTTATTTTTAAAGGGAAGTACGTTTTCCTGGGAAAAATTGTTTCAAACAGATTTTTGGGCTTCCTTCTGATTTTTCGTGCTCCAAATAGTCCAATCAATTAAAAAAGTTAAAAAAAATAGATATTATAGAGAGCAATAATCTTGGTTTACTAGTGTTATCCCTTTTGTTTTTTTTTTTTTTTGTTTGAATCTTGCTTTTGGTTGTAGTGTTATCCCAATTTTTTTTTTTTTTTCACTTGTGTTATCCAATTTCAGCTGATAACAAGATAGATCGATGTTATCCCACTGCCTAATAAAAAAGTGGTCTGCTCATATAGTGGTCGTCTCTTCATATATTTATAACCAAATATACAAAAGTGGTCTGCTTATATAGTGATCCATGGATTCTCTGTGGACTTCTCACATGATCATGCAAAGATGTTTTAATGATGTTTTGTGATATTGATTTTATGTGTATTTGTTTATAATGTCTCTTATTTTTGAGTTTTTTCATTTAACTATCTCTAACTATGGTGTATTTTGGTGTTATATTTTCTTTAATTGATTTGCATGTAGTTGAAATGTAGTCTTCCAAAGGGGTTGGGAAAAGACAACAACGGGAGCGTCGATTGCATGGCCTATCAAGTACATCAAAATTTGTAAGTTATATGGTCTTTATGTTCGATAAAATTCTTTTATGATTGCACATTTGTAATGGTTTTTATACTCATACTAAGGGGGGTCACATGCCTTTAAGTGACCATTTTTGTGGTGTATCTTGAACTTTATGATTTGTTTTGGTACATCGGCCCGTGTGGAGGTCAATTTTATTTCTTGTTTTAAAATGTTGAAAGCATGGGAGTATGGGATCATCGTATGTGGAGGTTTTGATTGATTGTTGTGGCGGAGAAGTTGATATGTTGTTTAAGGAGTTAATGCAATTTGGTAACTTAATTTTTTTTTTTATGTATTAGTTGTTATTCATATTATATGCATATTATTGATGTAATAAAAAATAGGGTGCATTAATTACCTTGAAAAAAAAGTGCTATAGTCACATCTGTATTCTCTAGTACCACATGTTTTAGAATGGGTTTTCCAGTCACATTGAACCGCACATCTCTTTCAACACTTCTCACAATTGTACTTCTTCTCACCATGCTTTCTTGAGTAGTGCTTCTTGATTGTGTCCACTTCCCACAGATACACCTTCCTCTTCATTTTTTTTTGTAGTTTTCTGTTTTAGCTTCCAAGGTAGGTTGTGTCCTCTTCTGTGGAGGTGGAGGTTTTGCTCCCTTTGGAACCTTTTGTTGCATACCTCACAAATGAACCTGTTTGTTGCCATTAGGGTCTTAGGAGATAGTGCAATTACCTCCGCATCTGTATTGTCGAAGTTGTCTGCTCCTTTTCTTTTCCTGAACAAAATTGTAATCACGTCATATTCATTTCTAAAAAGAATTAATTAATATTCATCACTCCCTTAATAAATCTCAAATATTCTGCAATTGTAGTCAAACTTTCAAATTATAAATACTTAGATTAAATTTCACCCAATGGATTGGAGCTAAACTATAGTTATATTAATTCATATGAGACTACAATTGAAGCAATAATTAATAGTAATAGTAAATTTTCCTTTTTTATCTCTTTCTTCCTCATTCCCTCTCCAGCCACTACCTCCCAGTGACTTTCATCTTTTGATTATTTTTATGGGTTCAATCCACTGGCTACACAGAGCTAACTTGCATAAACATGTGAACTATTATGACAGACTACCATTTTGTGGCCAGAGAGATGTGTAAGTCTCTTTTGTCAAATCATCAAATGGGTAAAATTCATTCACATGTTTGTGAATTGGGTTTTGTAAATAGATATATGACACATGCACAAAACAACAACATTACATAATCAAAATGCAGGTACAAATCTATTTGAAACAAAAAATAAAAAAGTTTAATTAAATAGAATCAAAATAAAGACATTGGATAATCTAAGTGCACTTAGCCATCGGGATTTGGAAAATAGATTTTTGAATAGCTTTGATCAAATACCATTTTAAAAATAATGATACTACATAATAAAAGTGCACTTAGAAATCTATTTAAAAAATAAATTAACATTATAATAGTTTTGTTAAAATGAAAACATTAGATAAGTAAATTACACTTATAAATAGGGATGCCAATACTCTGCCTCATGACAACAATTACATATTTACAACAACTTTCAAACACAAAGGCTTTTTCTTGATGATGTGACCATACCTTTTTATCTGCCATGGTGTAAGTAAGGCTGTTTTACACAATTTGGCTTTTTCTTCAATAACATTGCTAGTCACAGAATATGAATCTCTATAAAAAGATCAGTTCTAGTACATACACAAAACCATCCCACTTTCTCATCTTATCTCTATAGACAAAATTATATGGCCAATTCACAAACCAAATCCTATGTTGAAGCAGTAGTCATTCATTGGTTCTCTCTTGTTGATGTATTTTGCGAAATTATTTGGCTTCCATTCATTATAGCATTATAAGCTATTTCATTTTTAACTCCTCATATTTGAAGCTATTCCATTTTTAACTCCTCACGACACTTCGTGAGGCCATCATCCCACTTTATCATCTTATCTCTATAGACAAAATTTGCAGTCGTTGAGAGCTCTGTTCCGGGTGAAAAACCTTGAAGAACTAAGGGCACTTATCAGAACTTTTTCCAAGGTACTACTTTTTTAAGGAACTGGCTTAAAAGCAGCTTCTTTACCTATCAAGTAGAGAATTATTGTGTTTAGGATATATTGTACAATTAAAAAAAAATTAAGATGCATAATAAAGAAACAATGTTCCTAGTGATGTTGGAGTATATTTTGTACTATTCATTTCCTCAAGTTAGCTAGATTGGGAATAAAGTTTGTACTCTTTATGGCACTAATGGATTTATTTGTGGATGTAATGTGCAACTTAATTAGTGGTGTGGGGTGTAATACCATTTTCAATTGCAAAAATAAGTACCTTGCGCGAAGGTACTACTTTTTATCCAAAGGTACTACGTTTTTGAACTGAAGGTACTACTTTTTTCTCCAAAGGTACTACGTTTTGAAAACGCTACTACCATATTTTGTAAACACCCGCTTATTATTTGGTTGAGAATATTTTGTGTTGCTGCTGTTATGAGATTGGAGTGGAATTAGGTAGAGGGGAAAAAAAAAAGTTCTTTTTTTAGGCAATATAAAAACAGACCTGCTCCAGATGACTTGAATAGCAAATAGGAGTAAGTGATTCTAATTTGACTATGGTATGGACATGATTAGACAGACCTCTATCATGAGGTCATTATCAAAGACAATGCAACAACAATAAGGCAATTTACTTCCAGTATGTGAACTAACCCCTCGGTCAGATTTATTCATGAACCATATGTACTAAGATCAGGAAGATACTTCGTCTAACCAACACTCGCACAACTTGCACACCAAATATAAATGAGTAGGATGCATAAAACTAATAACGGATAGTATCTTCAATGTTTATTCATGGTTCTCGAAGAAAAATAACATTAAAACACGCTAAACATATGGTGATACTTAAACTAAAACTTGTTTAAGTATGAGAGAACATTGAAAGTTAAACAGACGGTGTGAGAGGGATTGACAAGGGTTAGGGCCGGGCTTGAACTTGTAATCTTCATTATTATTATTTTTTTTTTGGCGTAATAAAATCTGTTTGCCAATTTTTTCGTTGAACATAAGTTATATGTCAAACCACGAAACTGGAAAATTGTGTGATACATAATTAAAGAAGACCGATTAACTTTCGGAAGGAAAAAAAAAATAACAAATG